CACACACAAACACACACACACACACACACACACATACACACACATACACACATACACACATGCACACACATACACACATAAACACAAACACACATATACACACATACACACATACACACATACACATAAACATACACACACATACACACACACAAACACACACACAAACACACACATACACACACATACACATACAAACACACACACACACACACACACAAACACACACATACACACATACACACATACACACAAACACTCACACAAACACACACACAAACACACATACATACACATACACACACAAACACACACAAACACACACACATACACACATACACACATACACACATACACCTACGCATACACCTACACATATACATACACATACACTTATGCATACACATACACATACACATACACATACACACACACACACACACACATACATGCACATACACATACACATACACATACACATACACACATACACACACATACACACACACACACACACATACACATACACACACACATACACACACACACACACACACACCTGGTACAGCAAGCTTAATCCCATAAACAATTTGAAGTATCAATCGTAGTTTCGCGAAAAATCGTTTCGGACCCACGAAAGCCTTCTAGAGAAGTTTTTCTATTACAGGGTTAATAACTTCACTTTTTTCTGGCTATTTACAAGTATATGTGTATGGCACACCAAACAGCAAGGAAAGTACACATTTATTTCCCTTAATCGTAGAATTATTTCGATAACACCCATCAGGGGCGGAGTTTTGTTGATGTTGTAGGAGAGGATCGGGTGAAGTCTTAATATCCAGGTGGTGTACGTGGGATTGGACAATGCTCGCAACTTCCTGGCTCTCCAGCTGCTCCTTGCACTCCCTGAATGTAATTATATCACTATGCTTGCTATAATAAACTAATTTTTGCGCTCGCTCCTAGAGGCAAGGCAATGGCTCTCGCTGAGATTGAGAAGTACTTGTGCAAAACAAAGGTAAATAAATTTCAGACAAAGTAAGAGTGAAACGAGAGAGTTTGCTTGCGATCAGAACTAAAGCTTCTCCTAGGCCGAATATTTTTTGAAAAGTAGATGCACCTGCACTCCTTGCGGTCCAGGCTGTCCTGGTGGTCCCGGACGTCCTGCAGGTCCAGGGGGACCAGGCGGTCCTTCCATGTTCCCTCCATCGAGTCCAGCTTCACCTCGAGGCCCTGGTGGGCCCCGCGGTCCTTTGTGGCCTGCTGGACCGGCTGGGCCGTTAACCTTGAAGGTTTGCAATTCAGCTTATAGTTGAATAGATAAAGGTTGTTGAAGCCGTGTACCTGTACGATTCTGCCGGGTGCTCCTTTGGGTCCTGCTACGCCTTGTCTTCCTGGCATTCCCATCATACCCATCGGGCCTTGCATGCCGGCAAGCCCTGGCTTACCATCTTCTCCGTTTTCTCCAGGGGCCCCCTTTGGTCCTTGTGGTCCCTTACTACCTGCCATACCTTGAGGCCCCGGTGGGCCAGGTGGACAAATGATACAGGGTTCATTGCTGATAGCTGACTCGAGCATACTTCCATCCTGAAAAGGGGCGATGTCACAGTAAGCATTAATCTAAATCTCTCGAGACATATTGTTTAAACGAGTTCGAGCACCAACCTTTCCACTGACACCATCATTACCGCGAGCTCCATCTTCTCCGTCTTCGCCATCGTCTCCAGGTGGTCCTGGTGGCCCGACAGGTCCTTGCTGGCAGGGACAGCAAGTTGGAGCCGGCTCTGCATTGACCACAGGCCCATAGCCACCACCTGGATTCGCGAGAGGAGGATTTGGAGAGGCACCGTACTGTCGCTTGGTGCGAGTGAATTCAGGTCCATCGATGTGGTGTATCTCCGCCCACATATCCCTCGCTCGAGTCTGAAACATGATGGTTATTTTCGAAATACATCAAGGAGCTACATCGAGCACATACCTTGCAGAAATCTGTCTCCATGATGAGATGAGACTGGAAATTTGCAACATAACTGTAGAGCATGGGCAAAGTGACAACGGCGGCAATCACTGCCACTGTACTGACGACGATGGCGAAGAAAGCGACCCTACGCAGTTCCTTCTGCTCCGGTGACTCCATCTACAATATCTTCTTGACACCTTCTCGATATATGGTGAGATAGATTTTGGTGGTTAGGTTGAAGATAATAAAGCTGGCTCGAAAACGGAACGAGAAGGCGGCGAGGACTGAAAGTGCGCTTCGCACTTTTATACCGAATCGTCGCCCCGATTTCACTGTCGCCTTTCGAAAACTGCCAAAAACCGGGTAGTGAGGTTTTTCGTTCGGCGACAATGTCTGTGCATCGCTGGACAATGTCGAGAATCTCGGTCAGATCGTTGATGGGACGTGAACGAATAAGAAATCACAAAATTTTGGGACTTACATTGCATGTTGAGTAGTCGAAGTGAAGGTATTAGAATAATCTACACATCCTCCTGTAAAGTATTACTAGAATATTGAAGACCATCGTAATCAAGTGGAGAAACGTCCAACAGGACACGTTTCCGCATCGGACGGGGATCTGCAGGACAAAGTCTACTTTTACAGTAGTCCCGTGCAAACCAATATTCTTCCAAGAACGTCAAACAGCTACACATGTGACTTAACTTCATTCCTTCGCAAATGGTAATTGTCAATGTACATTAACAAACACCGTTATAAATGGCCGCCACGGCCCCACGTCATACCACCCGGTTGACCTTTAGCAGTAACGTTCAAAAATTGTTTTTTCTTATGTTCCTCTCGCTACTTGACCTTTACAAGCTCTTGCACTGCTTTAAAGCATGGTTTCCTTTTTCATGGTTGCTTACCTCAGCTTCTCAAATTATATTCGTTCTGTTCTGAATCCAGCATCGTCCATAGACTACACCATTCAATAAAGTGTGACCGAGAAGTCCCTATAAGACTGGAGGGGTTTACCTCCATGTTGTGCAGAATCGCTGAAACTCACCATCGTAATCAACCCTCTCTCAACTCTTGCCACTGAATGGATTCCTTCCATTCATTCTTCAAAGTGCTTAATACATAGGCTCAGCTTTATTCACTGTTTTTCTACAAGTATCTTTCTGGGTTTTTCCCTCATCCTTAAAATCGTCATTTTATTCTGAAGAAAGCGCTTGAACCTCTACACCCTTCATTCGCTTTTTTCTCTTCTCATCATTCATTGTGTTCCCTTCTTTGAGCATTGTAAGGGACGTAGAAAAGGGATTTTGCCTACGCGAACTGCTTTCATACCATGTTCGGGCCTTTCATCTAAAATTGCAAACAGTGAATTGGAGCCGCTAGACATTAGCGTCGCCATCCTTGTTCACTAGCCCGCTGACCTCATTACATCCTCCTTACGTTCGCATAACATCCTTGAACCTTTATGGGTATTCTGGCGGTGGCTTATCTACCTTTTCTTTTGTTGAGCCAAAAATGCGAAGAGTGTATCTGTGGTGTACTGTGTTGTTGACGGTTCTTTTGCGATACTTGGAAGAAAAGTGCACATAAACAGTACTCAATAAACGGGTGTCAATGAAAGTTTTAATGGGCATGCCGCAGTAGCATGTGATCTTTCACAAAAGGTAACCTATTGATTCACTGTAGTGGCCCATTAATTATTTTTTTCATCACTCCAATAGTTGCGTTTAGGATAAATTACGCATTTGCAATGGTATTTCCTTCGCATCTTACAACTTCCGTCAAAACCATCACCGCAATCCGAAATTCTTGAAGCAAATAGTGTTTAGCCTGCCTACCACATCTTATCATTTATTTGTTCCCCTTTTCTGAAAACTTTAGACATTCAATACCTTCTACACCGTTCTCTACTGCACTTCATCAAGGGTTTTCTCCTAGTCAAAATATCATCTCGATATCTGTGACGATTTCATTTCTTTGTTAACCTTATCGCCTGCTATCGTCTCCTTACACTCCTGGATCGGCTGGTAAATGCCACTCGGCAGATTTCAGTCAGTTGCAAAAAACGTAGGGGATCGCACAAACGGTAGGAAATATAGGGTGAAGTGTGTGAACACAAAGCAACCGGGCTGCCCATCGCGTTGCTCTTGTAGACCGGCACCAGGTGCTAGATGTTGATCAGGAATTCTCATGGAAACAGTGCCTCCGATTTGCGTCACCGATTTTTCAAGTGCTCATTCAACATTCACACTTAACTGTAGGTCAAGGTATACGGCGACAGGGCCTTTCAGCGCCATTTCACAGGAATTTAGGTAAGTCCCTCATCGCAACTGACCACCAGCGCTCCAATCAGAACTCTTAAACCTCAAGCTTGAGGATCAAACTTACATGAATCAGTAAAATTTAGACATTCTTGCCATGTTTTTCATTCACACTAAACTTGTAAGATTATGGCAAAGTTTTCGCTCAGACTACTTATAGCCCCACGTTTAGCTTGTTCCTATAGTGACTCATGCATCGCGCGGCGCATTGCACGAGTGACGTTCCCTGTGGTTAACAAAGTGTTAGTCCTGTGTCACTTCGGGCGGGGGTCTGGAATCTTCTCCACAAACGGCGTGTCGCGCGTTCGCCGCACTTGATCAAGGGTAAGATCTGAATCCCCAGTCGAAGGGCACGGGTGTCCGCAGGAGTGTTGCCGGCGGGATTTCGGGGAAAAGTTCCGTCACCCCTTCGAGCCCGCAAGAATTTCCGAAAGTCCTGCACAAAAAAATCTGCAAAGCGGCGAAAGGCAGTGAGTCCATGGCAGTTCCTTGATATGGGTTCGGAAAAATGCGTTCTCTCGTTTGCAAATATTCGACTACATACACGCTGCGCAGTCTTTCAATCAGCTTTTACGGACAGAATAAAGGGCACGTTCTTTGGAACGGAGAATAAAATGAGTATTATGAGACATTACTCAGTTGTTAATGAAATACAGACTCTTGCGGCACAAATTTTCCAACCGTCCGGTTCAGTTTACTGGTGCTAGGCTTGTCTGGAGGGATGAATAGTAGATAACACTGATTCGAAAATCGGCTGTTCACCGCAATTCGTTTTAGAAGCCATAAACAATTCCGAAGCGCTCGCTACTCAGCGCTCTGTATGGAAGGTAGACGCTACATAGCATCTCAATACAAAGACTGAAAATTGCCAAAAGTACTCTTTCGAAGTAACGCGCTTCGGGTTTTTAGCAGCATTCAATATCAAGGGGAAATCCAGACTTTTGGTTGTTCTGTTTGTTGTCCATGTTTAGTAATCTGTTGAACACAATATAATTCGAACAGAATTTTAAAGATCCCTTGCCAATGTATGATTTCGATTGTCCCAGGGNTGTATCTTTGCTGTCTTCGACGATAATGAATAATCTGCGCATACCAACCATTCGTCTCTTAAGTCTTTCGGAACCCGTTCTCGTTGATCGAAATAATCGTAAAAATTGGTTGGAAAGTCATCCCGAGGCATGGCGTTTCTATCACCAATCATTTCTGCGAGTTAGGCTTTCTACAATCCTCTATCGCCAAATCTTACATTGTGTTGTTAATAGCTTAAACCTGGTCTGCTCGATCCTTCCTCGTATTCGTAAGTAGTTTTCGATGTCTGTCGCTGTCGAAATTGAACATCAACTCCTTCAGAGGTGCCTTGGGACCAAAGTGTATGATGTTGCCGATATATATGTATTTATGATATCGCCTCTAATTCGTGATCAACCGACGACTTGCGACGGATTAATCCATCGCAAACCGTCGCCTACCCCACAACTTTTGCTCAAGTGATTTAATTGAGCTGGAGACAGCATTGTGGTAAAGCCCTTCTCATAACGGTTCCCGTTTTATCATGAATTTGCGGTTCAGTGTAATTTTTTCCTTGTTAATATTGCTTTTGGCCTGATTTTTGATTTTATTTTCGTTTTTAACAATGATCAAATCTCCAGGTACCTGAGGCGTTGAAGGCACAGTTCTCAATAAAAGTGGTTCCTACGCGGTGCGCGTTCCGCGCGTCGGTCGGAACTAGGTCATGACCCCGCAGTCGTACGCAGCGCGTCAGCTCGCGATCCTTGACAGAAGTCGTAGCTGGGTCATACAGTCTGCTCTTGATCCACGGCGGTGAGCTTAAAGAGAGGGCAACACGGACTGGTGCAAACCACTCCTGACTTTTAATGGTCATTTGAAGGTCGCAGTAGGCTGCGCCTCGCGCCAATTGAGCGGGGTAACTCAGTTTCAATGGAGGAGCGGAGTGGACGTTCCCCGGTTCCTGGGACTTCCTACTAGAAATACCAGTTGGTCCCCAAGGGTAACACAAAAGGCGCTGTCGGGAAGAAAAACTCAACAGATAGACTAATATGGGCACCATCACCGCGCTCGTCGACGTCCGCGCCTAACGAGCGATGATATGTCAGACGCGTGTCGAGGCAATACAGTTTGCGCTATTCGTACCAGGATCTACACTTTTAGCATACATGATCGCCGAGTGATGGAGGGATTGTTTACTCTTAATCTGTTAATCTTTTTGCTTCTGCGGTCATTTTTGAAGTTTTCACCTTACGAAGATGAAAAATGTGAGTAACTTCTGTTGCTAATCGTGTTTTCGTTAAGATACCGAGTGATATGAGTGTATTCACTGACATCTTTCCTTACTGTAACATTTTTCCTTACTGTAATCAGCTGTTCGCACTAGGACCCACGTTATGCAGTGACCACATTTTATAACTCGTCCAAGCGCCCTTCTACTTCATTTCCTGGTCTTATTCTCGTACAGCCCCTTTTAATGATTTTTCCATAATCTTTTATCCCTTTGCAAAGTGCTTTCTTCGCCTACAACGCACTACCCTCCACATTCCCCATCAGTTTTTGAACTCGGTAACCCAAAATCATCGTGATCTGTGCCTACAAATGCGGATATAACGGCGTTAACGTTAACGTTAACATTCCGTTTGATTTGGAACTTCGTTTCAAGGGATGCATATATGTCGGAATTTGAGAGGAGCCTGAAAATTGTGCTTAATTTGATTTCACTTGCTTGCTCAAATTAGCACTTCTCCAGAGATTGCTAGTATTTTCCAGCAGTGCATTCCAAAGAAACGGAGTAGTTTTGCATTCATTCGGAGGCTCATGTGACCTAAGAATGCATGTCATGTCAGG